TAAACTGAAACATGAGAAGTTCCACCTCAATATGAAGAAGAACTTCTTTACATTGATGGTGGCTGAGCACTGGAACAGGCTACCCAGGGAGGTCAAGAAGTCTCCCTCTCTGGAGGTGTCCCTGTGTAACCTGCTCTAGGTGTCCCTGCCTTGGCAAGGAGCTTGGATTAGATGATTTTCAGGGGTTCTTTCCAAACCTAAGTATTCTGTGAATACATTTTAGAAGTGAATTATTGCTTTTTTTTTTAATGTTTGATATCCACATAACAGAAATTGTTACTTCAATAAGCTCTGTATATGCAAGGCCTCTTTCTAGCTCTTGCATTTTCATTGTTATAAAATCAATTATAATAATAATAATAAGCTAAAGTTGGCATAGTGGTCAGTAAGTACAAACATCAGTTAAGAATACTTTTTCTCTTGTCTATTTTTAAATGCACTTATATTTGCTTTGAAAGCAGATCACGAATACAATTCTGTAGCAAGTCAATAAGCTATCACAATCCCAGTTTGGAGGCAAGAAACTGAAATACTTTATTGGACTCACAACTTGATATATAAAAGGTTTAGTATTTACATATTTAACAAGAGGTTTACATATTCAGGGTGTGTGGGGGGGTATTCATTCCATTACAATTGGGGACTTTACAGAGATGAGGTAAAGTGGAAATCCTAAATTACAAACTTTTGGGTCTTAGAACTTACATCATATGGGAAAACCCACTTTATCTGGGGGGATTTCACAGGGGGGAACAGGTAACACACAAAGGGAGAGATAAAACACAAAAGGTTTTCTGCACAGGTTTGATGAGATCAGGGCATGGTTTCTCCAGGCTTGGGCAGGAAATTCCAAATCCTTGACATCAATGGATCCTTGCTGAGACTCTAGATGGAGGTTTTTCCCAGTCTCTGTCAGCCCAAAGCTTTTGTTTAAACTTAGCAGTTTTTCTTTTTCTCATATCCAAAATTTGGAATCCAACGCAATTCAACATTTAAATGAAAGTTGAAATTGAGTAAAACAATTTTGAGATTGTATTAAATCTGGCTTTATAGTGGTTTTTATATTTCTATTCTAAAACTTTTTTAATTCAAATATTTAAATATATTTTATATTTCTCCTCTTTAAGATCTATATAATTAGAAAAAATTGCTATCATTTCTTCTCTACTGTAGATTAGATTATATATACAAAGAAAATTTTGATGATTTATAAATATTTAAATTTATTAATTGATTGACATTAGCCTGGTTTTGATCACAGATTTCAAAGTCTAGCACTGGATTACACAATCCTGACTAGCAAAAGACTGAGTTAAGAAGGAACATTTTTACATTTTTTTCTAATAAGTAATTTGAAACAAGAGATGTGACAATGTGATAATAATATAAAATGATAATCTCCAAAGTAACACCATATTCACCATTTCCTCTTGTGAAATAACTGATGATCTTCTTACTAAATTGTTGAATGGTATAATTTGCCTATTACTTGTCATTTTGATTTGAGTCTGGTTTGTAACAGGCAGAAGCAGCTTTATTCAAATAAAGGATTTTTCATTATTAAAATAAAATAAAGATTTCATTGAGTTTTTCCTTTTTCTTTTATTGAGGTGAAAGAAAAGAATTTTGTCATATTATCTAAAAAATCTAATACTTTTTAAGTAACAGGATAGGTAATAAAGAATTCTGATACTTTGACCTCCCCAAAAGCAGGTAAAATATAAATGTTATTTTATAAATTTTGTGACACAAAGTGAAGTGACTCATATAGAAAATGTACTCTAAAAATAGACTTCACACTCCCACTTCTACTTACTGTATCCCAGGGGACTTGTACTAAATAATATCAAAATATCCAGTCAGCAGGATTGTTTTAATATGATTGAAATGGTAATGAGAAATATATTTAAATGATGATGGGCAGCTAACCTTAAAATCAAAAGTCAGATCACTGAAATCAACAGAGAAGCAGTGCAGGCATGTTTTGCTGTTCCAGCATCTCAGGAAGGACACAAGACAGGTAAAACCAATGAAGGCTTGGTTTTGTTTGTTTTTATTTGGGTGGGGATTTTCTTCTTTCTTTTTTCACATTGTCTTCAGTGCAGTCAAATTTATGGAAAGTGCTAAAATATGGAATCATGGCGGAATGACTGAAATCAAGACTTTCTGAGTTTTTTTCTCAGGACGTGGTTTTGCACAGGTACAGTGACTACTGACACAGCAACCTAGCAGCTCAGGCTCCTGTCCCATGTGTTCTTTTTTATTGTACTCTCTCAGGAAGAAGACTTTCCATTTTGAATATATTGGGATTGGAACTAACCAAGTACTGTTTTCTAACCTCTAATTGACTTCTCCATCTTCCTGCTATTACTGGTTTATTTAAAGTGTGTGTTATGAATGTTTTGCTCAAGTTAGCTTTTAAAAGCTCGAATATAGAGCAGGTGCCACCTGTCTAGACAGGCTATTTTGCATTCTGAAAAGGTTTTGTGTGTTCTGGAATGTTTCCTTATAATCAGTCTACACTTTCCTTTGTTCAAGATTATCCAATTTACACCAAAACAATCTCTTCTCTTTCCTACTGTCATGTTTATACACTTCAATTACATACCAGTCTTGTTTCACAGATTATACAGAGGTTCCATAGTGCAGATGTTGTGTTATAACAATGTCAGAACATGTATGCACCATTCCAAACAAATCTGAGATTTCTAAACTTGAGCATGTGGAAGGGGGTTGTTTGGGGTTTTGTCCCTTCTTTTGTTCTTGCATATTCTCACTGCATTACAGAAAGAATAACAAATATAACTAATTATCTCTGGTTAGTCTGAAATGTTTTATGAACTGACTCAAAGCAAGCAAAGAGATGAAGTAGTATGCTGAGATTTACATAATCCATTTATTTGCTTTTATTATGATTTTGTTCAAGGTTCTGACAACAAGCATTTCTCCCCTGAAGAACAATCAGGTAGCTAGCTGTGGCAATTCAATATAAACTTAAGTTATGCATATAGACAAGGTCAGGAGTGGGCATATTCAGATTAGTCTTTACAAAGCAGAATGGAATTACTCATTTTTCTGCAAACTAAGGCATTTCTGTTCAATACTGTGTCCCTATAGCATTCCATAAAACTATTTTGTAGTTCCTAAAAATGAAAGCTTACGTGCAGAGAGGTATTGAGGTAAGGAAGAAGAATAGGAAATGAAATAAATACAAGTCTAATAAATTAATGTGTTACATTTGCAAAATATGAGACAAAAATATGTAGAGCATTGACATTTTTTATGTCTGGATTGAAACAACTTACTTGGATATAAAAGAAAACCAAAGAAAAATACTGGAGATGACACACCAAATCCAGTAGTCCTTATCCTGATAAAATAGTGTGGTGGTTTCACTCTAGGCCTTCCTGGAGACCAGCTTGTAACCAGGAAGGAACTAGAAAAGTGATCACGGAAGTATTCCAAGCTATTCCTTTACGTAAATTGAGGTATAAATAAAGCCAGCAGGAGGGACCTCGCTCTCTTCCTTTCCGGCGAGGTTTGGGAACGGTGGGTCCCTGTCTCGGTCTGGCTTATCTGGAGCAGAGACCTACAGCGACTGCTGTGTCTGCCACACGTGAGGGGAGAGCGCTGGGCCGTGTCCAGCCATCCTACCTGTTCGAAGGGAAGTGGTGAGATTTTTGCTAGTTTGCCTTCGGTTGGCTGGTTGACTTGCTCGGTCCTTGCCCCTTTTTGTCCTTCTCCCTCCCCCTCTTCCCTTTTTGGGGAGCTGTTTGGGATTTCTGGAGTTGTGGTGTGTGGTATTCTCGTTTTGTGTATCTGTCTCATATGTAAAATATATATATATATATATATATATATATATACTTGCTATAGCTTTGGCTGCTTGTTTTTTTTCTTTTCTCTTCCCTCTCTTCCCTCTCTGGGAGGCGGGAGCCAAGCTTCCTGCCAAGCCCCTGAAACCCGACAACAAATAGGAATCACTCTTATAAAAAAGCCCCTAAATTGTAAGCTAATCTGTAAGCATCACAGTGGACACAGTTACTTTGTCATTTCATGAGCCTGACTGATGACTGTTGAAGTCTGTATTGGTGACAAAACTCTTTAATGATTTCTTCTGAATTAGGACTCATACAGGTACGTGTTGAAACTTCTCTGACAGTCTAAACTAGAAGAAAGACCTTAACAATAACACAAATTACTTTTCTGGGCATTTTTATCCAAACAGAAGCAAGCATTCTCCAAAGAAATTAGAAGCCTTTCAATTATAAAGTTTCCTTTCACCAATGAGTTTGTTGCTCTGTCAGTCAAGATAATAAAGAAGCTGTTTTTTTCCACTTAGTATAAATTTTATTTTATAATGTTATGTAATATAAAAGAAGTATTATGAAAGACAAGGACTGATGCCAGAAAACACATAAATTGAGGATGAATTCATCTGTGATGACTCAGCAGCCCACATACAGTTGTCTAATTACTTTTGAGATACCTAAGATAGTCTGCCTGGCCTTCAGGTTCTGCTTCATGATAATCTCGGAGGTCCCTTCCAACCCAGCTGATTCTATGATTCTATGATTCTATGATTCACAAGGGAACAGTTCTCCCATCAATTCCAAGTCACGTTTCCTAGCTTTCCTGATATCTCTAATATCCTATAACATCCCAAATGCCAATTAACACTGACATGTGGGTAAAGGAATCGAGTTTGTTCTATAGCCTGTACAGAAATTCTTGGCAGAGTGGTAAGTAAACTTTTGACCTCCTGTTAGCACTATGTGATCATCATGCATCAGTATCGTAAGTTATATTGCTGTGGTGGGCTGCTCCCTCACGCACACAATTGTTCTGACAGATGTGTTAAGGTCAGGTTCTTTAAAATTATTAGAGAGATGCCTCTGCCCAAATTAAGATGCAAATGAGGCCATATGCCAAAGTCAATAGTATGGATTTTTATTTAACAGTAAATGCAAGGTAGAGAGAGATAGAAAGAAATAGGAGAGAGAGGGGGGGACAGAAAGAGAGTGACAGAGAGACAGATTAGGAAGAAATTATATCAACATCCTTGGATTCTGACGGCGTCCCATTGATTCTATTCTTCTGGTCTTCTTGGTGGTGAGAATCCCATTCTTGTCAAAGTGATAGTTGCAGTCTGAATCTGCTGAGGGAAGCCCAGTGTAGTGAGGGAAGAAGTCCATGTTGGTGAAGGAAGTCCTCTGTGGTAATGGAAGAAGTCTGTGTGCGTGAAAGAAGAAGCCCATGGTAGGGGAAATCTAAGTATGTTGAGCAGTCTGTCGTGTCTTTTATTGGGCTCAGGCTAGGTAGAAATGCCTCTGGTGCCACCCCTGGAGTAGGGAGTTTTACAAGGGATGATGTAATACTGGATCACAGGACATGTCATGAGTCTCTGACACTTTCTAAGATGTTACAGCTGGCTGTTACATCAGCCTTGAGTTCCTTATGGCCTATCAGCAGAGATTAACGTCTTCAGGCTATATGTGAATTGTCCCAATGCTTCCCCAGAGGGGAGTTATCACAGCTGAATCACTCCTGTAAGGACAAAGAAACACTATCCCACCTTGAAGGATTTGCTTCTTTCCTTATCTTGATCAATACCCAACTGGTAGCCTGAGGTGTCTGGTGTGCACACCCTCAGCACCTGGGCAGTTACTCTGCACATTGTCAGTTTGCACCTTGATTGTTTGAGACATCAGCATTCCAGTCTTTCACACTTGTGGATGCATTCTTCTCCTAGGATAATTGGGCATAGTACCTTTATCTTATCTCAAGTTCCTATCACAGTCCAAATTAGTAGGGATGTTCAGGGGGGGCTAGGCCTTGGTGAGCAGTTGCTTCTTTGCACAGTCTGCTACAGTGGACAAAAGTCCTTCAGGGATTTTAACAATGTTTAAGCCCTAAACCATTTCAGTGTCTCACAAGATGTCATTCATATATATTCTTATCAATGTGTGCAAATATGTGCTGGGAGGAGGTAAAAAAGATGGATCCAAACTCTCCTCGGGGTTGTTCAGTGACGGGACAACACACAATGATCAGATATTTAATTCCATTTAAGTGTAAGAAAAAGAAAATACTGTGAGGGTAATCAAACAGGAAGAGATTGCCCAAAGAGGTTGTGGAGGCTTCATTTGTGGAGACATGGAGCAACTTATGATAGCTGACCATGACTGAGCAAGGATGTTAAACTAGATAATATCCAGGGATTCCTTCCAGCCTCAGAGATTCTGTGATTTTTCTTCCCTAGCTGTCAGTCTCTGCCAAACTTGTTAAACTTTTAACAGTTACAGTTTCCTAGACTGAAGACAGCTTGATAACCCATTGCTTGAAGCATCATGTTCTTCTGTTTTAACCTGTGTCCTCCTGGCTTCACCAATCCTGTGTTGAAAAAAACAACAGAAAATCAATCCATATCCTCCTCTCTCCCTTGTCCATATTTTCCATGCCCCTCTTGATCCTATAAACCTCTATCAAGTTCTCCTTTACTCATATTTTGCTTATAATGAAGACCCCAAGTTTGTTTAGCTGTGGCTTATTCATTCCTCACACAGATTGATTTCATGCATTTCCTTTATTTCCCTTTTTCTGAAGCTTTCCATTGCAATATACTTTTCTGACATTTAGGGATCCAGCATATACATTCCTATAGTGACCCAATTCTTTATAGTCTAGTATAATAGTTCTCTATTACTTTCAAATAATCCTTGACATTATGATGGTTTGCTTGTTCTCTACTGCTAATAAATACTGAACAAACATTCATATGGAACAATTTATCTTAACCCCCAGATTTCATACCGAATCACAGTGGTCAGCTCAGAACACATAATTCTTTATGCAACATGATATGCTTATTTATTTATATATTTAGTTTTAATGAATTTATTGCCCACCAGTATTGTAAGGACTTTTGACAATTATTCACAGACAGTTCTTGTACTTGCTATAATGAATAATACAGTAATATCAGAAAATTTGTCATTTCGCTGTTGTCAAAGGTCACATCAGCATATTTTGCACAGCTTGGTGTGGATCTCCCATGTGAACTCTCTCCACTATGAAAATTGATTGCTTACCTATAGATTCTATTTCTTAACCATGCGAGAACTTTCATTCTCATCTAAAGTTTTTCTGAGATTATTTCCCTGTCAAAAGCCTTTTGGTAATCTAACAATACATTTCAATGGGATTGACCCTATCAACAAATTTGTTGACCGCTTAGCAAGGTACGTAATGCAAGAATTAATTTTCCAAAAGCCATGCTGATTTCTTCCCCTATTCTATATTTGTGCACATAGCAACTACTTCTGTTCTTCATCTACTAAATTGCCTAGTATGCATTAGTTTTACATTTTACCTGTGCGTCATTGCATGTCTCATCGAACATGTTCTCAGAGGAGCTGCCTTTGTATTTGTGTAGTACATTTCCTACCTATAACAAAAAAAATATTCTTAACTCCATAACTGGAGCATGCAAGCTTTAAAAGAGCCACAATTAAAGTTTAATACATAACATGACATTATTAGGTGAAGTGAAACCTTAATGGAACCTTCAGGAGCCTCAGCACAGAGACACAATTTGAATCTCTGACTAGATAGAATCAAAGTTACATTTCAGATTTTATTACACTTTCTAGTGGAGAATTGTTTCACAAATATCTTTTTGGGTTTCAGATTTCTAACAGCTTGCAATATGCAAGGTATTATTAATCTAAAGGTACATGAATCATCACCAGTGTATTTGCAAATGCACATTTTCCTCTCTGATGTCAAAGTAAATCACAGACCATCTCTCTAGATCAGTTTTGCTCTAGTCTTTTAAAGAGCAAAGCCAAGTTAATCTATACTCTACGAGGCAGAAGAAAGACAAAAGAGACACCAGCTTTGACACACAGGGTAGCATATGCTAAGTGTCCTCTGATTCATTAGAAAGAAATAGAGTGTCTGCAGGAGGTGTTAAACTATACATGTAATTAAATCTTGGCAGGTTCAATTTCTTACAAATTGAGAAAACAAGAATTAAGCTGTCTAGTGCATTGTTGAATTTCTTGTTAATAAAAACTTACATTTTGAACATGCACTTTTTGGTGGGCTATTTGGTAATCAAAAGCTAAGCTTTGTTACTTCGTTTACTTTTGTTTAATCAATCTTTGAACTGTTGTGCACCAAGGTCTTTATCAAGATTGAGACCTGATTCTTCCATGTACTGTGTTAATATGCAATAATATGAACTTTGTCTTCAATAGATGGTAATATAAAGACAAAAGACGGTAGAGAGATGGGAAACTGGAGCTTAAAAAAGTGAAGAGGAGAATAAACTTCCTGTGTCTTGAGCTAGCTACAAACCGAACATCTACATATAACACATCCCACTTAACTTTAGTCCCACTGAAGTCATCTAAAGGAGTTGTCCTGAATCCATGTAATGCCAGTGAAGAAAGGTAAATTTACTACCTACACTACTTGTTTTCTCTGAATAGTACTTGCGGTCATTTATTTCGGGGAATAAGCTGGATGTAACAGAACTGACTTTCTGTCAGACTTTTCCTTTCATAGGAACCTGGGTTTGCCCATGCAGAAGAGGATGAAATGGAGCTTATATATTTTAGACAGAGGATCAGGACATAGTTAGAGAACACTTTTAGATTTAGCTTGATAATATTCTAGATTTCAACAGTTTAGATACAATCACTTGCCTGTCCATAGCTTCTTAAAGTTACTATTTCCAACCAGACTAATTCTTAACAAAAATTTTCTGATTATTTATTATATGCTCGCTTGAGTTTTGGGTTTTAGTTGTTTTTCTGGTTTGTTGGGGGCTTTTTTGAGGGATTTTAAATCTTCTTGAACAGCTTAAGGATAAGATTTACTTCTTGTTAATTTGCATATTAGCCATTCAAGTACCAATTGACCACTGGAAGCAGATGCAATAGTAGACATTTTAAGTTTGATACTAAAACTGAAGTAAGTACACCAAGTTACTCACTTATGGAAAGATTAGTACAATTAAATGTAAACTTTTTAATAATCAGGAAAAATCTCATTTAATTGGGAAAGTATTTAAAATATATCTTTTTTCTAACTTAGATCATTTTAAAAAGAAAATGTAAAATTAATTCAGAGCTATCTAAATGTTTTGGCACTGCTTGAATGAAGCTTTATTTTGAGTTCAAGAAAAACCAACCAGGTAAGTGCTCATTAAATAAGCCTATCTTTAGAATTAATGTTTTGCACATCACAATAGAGCTATTGACTACAATTGTCATGTGTGAAGAAAGTCAAATTTTTGAATTTCTAAATGTCTGAGGAAAAATTCTCACTTCAGTTCACTATGAAGCCAGAGCAATTCAATTGACAGTAGATCAGAATTTGGCACTTAGTTTGGGTTTTTTCAACCCCAGCGGCACTTTTTATTTTTCATCACAATTCTGATGATAAATATAATTTAGGAAAGTAATTTATTTGCTTGTTCCCTTGCCATTTGAATCTGTCATCTGACAATGGCTCAGCATATTCATCACAAGGGGTCAAGCATGGGTAATGAAGCAGTTACGAGCTCACTGGCAACTACTATGCCAGCACTGTTACTGAAATGTAGTCCAATCCTCTGATTACAGTTGTCTATATTAGGGCACTGAATTTGTTCAGAGCCTCTGTCTTAGCTGCATCATTGTCATCATTCTCAATCCTACTACAAAGATTTTTCCTCAAATCGAGCTATTTTACTTTACTTTGTTTACATATTGATAGAAGGTCTTTGCCTCAAAAAACCATAGAGATAATGGACAGAATGAAAAATGGTTAATCTACTCACGGGGTACTGAGGCATATTCAGCTTCAACTTCCTGTCGTTTTGGAAGCACTCCGTCTCTTAATAATCAAAAGTATTTGCTTCTCATTTACACTTATCTTCCTGAATAAATTAGTCAAGTTTTCATTCTGCAGAAATATTAAATAGAGAAAGATAAAAGCAGGATACATTTTTCTTTTAGTTTAGGATGGTCTCTGCAAGGTATAGATTCAGCAATGGTCTCCTCTGAATTGAGGACAGTAAATAAAGGTAACCTTTTTATAGCCTAACCTTGGTACTCTTCTGAATGCTGGTTTTTTTGAAGCAGTTTTGAGGGATGTGCTACATTTACAGAGACTTTGTAGTCTAATGGTTATAAATACTATGTATGTAGCTATATAAGAGTATTTTCATTTGAACTTCTATCCTCCACAAATTGTGGAATTTTAAAATTAAGTTCTTACATCTTTCTGTATTATTATCTTTGAGAGGAAAAGACCATTTGAAAAACAGAGATCATGTTTAATGCCTTATCTATTATGGCACCTGACTTAACAGTTTTACTTATCCTTTTGTGAATAGTGAAATATTCATTCTCTAAGTAATACAATGCGAAAATTCTACATTACTGATCCTTCAAATAATAATGGTTTTATTTTTATATCATTACTTTTTTATCAAAGTAAAAATGTATTTTATTTCACATACATATGTTAAAGTATCTTAATTTGTTTACAACTAGCATATGCAGATGATCAAGATGCTTAGAGTGGCTTTTTTAGTGGTTTCATTATCTCTTTACCTTTGCATAATATAAATAAAATATGCCTCATGGAAAATAAAAAAAATTACCTAATATAGTTTCTTACAGAGTTCAGTGACAAGCTATCATTTATTTAAATGAAGGCAAAAAAGATATAAAAGAATTGCCTTTTGTTAGAAGTTTATACATCTCCTGCTTCAAAATCTTATGTACTATAATCTACTACCCTCCAAAAAAGCAGTGTTAGGAGTTATGGTTACCAGGCATGGCAGTGTAGTATTTGCCTGTTCTTGATGAATACGAGCCATTATTCTTTTTTTTCATGATCCTTCGACTACACTATTAGCTTCCTCAGAGGACTGAAATAACTAGTCTCCTTCAATGAAGGATTCCTAAAGGAGACAGAGTGTGAGTTTCTCTTCTTCTGGGAAACTGATTTTATAATGGTGAAGGTGTCAGACATAATTAAGATGAATGATTGTGTACCCAACTAAATGAATCTTATAGTCATAAATTTGACATTTTTCCTATACTGTTCATGAGTCTAATAGGAAGAAGTCAAATGCACATCTTCTTAGCAGGAGTCAGAGGCAGGATAAAGTACACAACACTGTTAAATAACTGCTGAGATTGCAGAAGTCTGAAGACCTCCTTCAGACATAATCCTTTCAGTCTTTTCAACACAAATCTTGAAGGAGTAAATGTTATGTTTTATGACTTAAATATGATTTATATGACAAATTTTGTCAGATTTCCTCATTCAGTAAAGATAGTAAAAAAAGTATATAGACTGTCAATCATGCTATCAACTCATTAAAATAAGTCAAAAAAGCATAATCTCATATTTGGTTCATTTTAGAGATAAGTGAATAAGACAGAAATAATGCCCACTACTATTATTTATTTTGTCTTTCTACCACCTCGTCCCAACAACCTTTAAAGTCTTGTCACAGTAAAATTCTTTTTTTTTAAGAACTAGCAGCTAATCCAGCCCATTACAACAAAATTCTCGGTAGTTAGTTTTCAAATGAATTTCAGATTCCTATGAAGATGATCATGTGTTTATTCTTTCAGGGGAAAAAAAAAATCACTTTACCACATGACATCAATTAGCTTACAATCAATTATTTACAAGCAGTAATAATAATCTGTGTGTCTCGGTGTACTGTAAATAGGGAAGTCATCCAGCTACTATTAACCACTGCCAAATTTACTGGTAAAATCTTTATTTATATTATGTATGGCTATGACTAATCATTTCTTATTAAGAAATGAGCAGCGACTATCAGTCCACAATATGTAATGGTCCAAGACAAGATAATGTTATCTTTTGATAGTCTGATTTTTGACAACCAAATAAAACCTGCTACAGAGGTAAGAAACACAACAAAGAACAAATATCCAACATATTTGAAGCAGAACATACATAGTAAATTCAGATATAATAACAAATTGCAAGATAATAAAGAAAATAAAAAATAAGCAGATTTTACTATCAAAAAAAGTATAAAATTGACCTCAACATGATCCAAATGAAGAAGAAGAAATCATTACCTTAAGCATAAGATTCCTCTTGGCAAAGAGTTTGGGATGGTAATTTGCTATAATTTGTGCCTTCTTACTGAAGAAAATAGGTTTCATCAATCCTAGGGCCCAAGGAGATACCATATGTGACCGGTATTGTCCTGCTCCCCACCCCTGGTAATGTGGTTAGCATAACTTATATTATTTTATAAAGCAAACAGCCATTCTCTATGGCTGAGTGGGTGATGCATTCATTTCCTGTGAGCCAACTAGAAAAATAAAAAATATTTCTTCTTCTACTCCATACGGGTCTCAAGATTCCTGAGTGCCAGTCCAATTACACCCTTCCTTACCAGCCTTGCAGGTCCTAGGCACTTGGCCAAACAGGTGTTGTTGATGACCACAGCAAAGAACAAAGAAGCGTAACAGCACACTGAGCGCTGTCTATAAAATCAAGCACATGTCAGTTAGTCCTAAGTGATCTTGGATGGTTAGAGGATGTCTTGGGCATACCATTAATGAAATTATAGAATTTTCAGTTGTCAAAGTGAGGTCAGGAGTGAGCAGAACTGCCACCTTGGACTTCTGGAGGGCAGACTTTGGCTTGTTTAGGAGTCTGGTCAACAGAGTATCTGGGAGGCAGTCCTGAAGGTCCAAGAAGGCTGGACATTCTTCAAGAAGAAAATCTTAAAGGTGCAGGAGTAGCCATCGCTATATCCCAAAAAGATGAGTTGGTGGGACAGACTGACCTGCCTGACCAGAGAGCCTTGTCTGGCATTCAGGGGAAAAAAGTGTTTATGACACTTGGAAGAAGAGCCAGGCAGCTCAGGAGGACTACAAGGATGTCGTGACATTATCCAGGGACAAAATTAGAAGGAACAAAGCCCAGTTAGACCTTAATCTGGCTCTGCTGTGAAAGACAACGAAAATGTTTCTATTAGCAACATCAGCAACAAAAGGAGGGTAAGGAGAATCTCCATCCTTTATTGGTTGCGGAGGAGGAAACATAGTTACAAAGGGTGAGGAAAAGGCAGAAGTATCTAATGTCTTCTTTGCCTCAGTCTGTGATAGTGAGACCAGTTGTTCTTCAGGTATGCATCCCCCTGAGCTGGAAAATAGGGATAGGGAACAGAATGAATACCCCATAATCCAAGCGCAAATGGTCAGTGACTTCCTACACCACTTAGACATGCATAAGTCTATGGGGTGAGATGGGAACAACCCAAGGGTATTGAAGGAGCTAGTGGAAGTGCTCTCCAAGCCACTTCCAGATATTTACCAGCGGTCCTGGACTGAATGTTAGCAAATATGATGTCCATCTACAAGAAGGGTCAGAAGGAGGATCTGGGGAACTATAGGCCTCTCAGCCTGACCTCAGTGCCAGGAAAGGTTATGGAACAGATTATCTTGAGTGCAATCACGTGATGTGTATGACCATATAAATTTCTTGGTATGTTTGGGCTGATACACTTGCCTTTGAGATGCACCTGTTAAAATTTTAACGTAACAAATGACAATATGGCTAGTACTCTGTGAGTTCTGATAGGGCTCTGTTTTCCTGGAATTATTTTTCTTCAAGTATGACAACTTATTTCCAGCATATAATTGGGAAGCATAACAATGACTTAGGCTGCAATTTGCAATGCAATGTAATATAAAGGTCAGTTATACAGACTTACATGACTAAAGTTGCAATTGGAATACGGTAAGACAAAAGAGCATGTTACTGTAGTTCTCTTCTCCAGGACTCAACATAGCAAAAGACATGAACAAGTAAAAAAAGTGGGGTAAAAACTCAAAAAAAATACTTTTATCAGCTGTTATCAGCAAAAAAGGAAAGAGAAGAATTTAGGTCATGTTTTTAGTATATATAATTCAATATAACTTCCTCTCCCTACCTTAACAATGGGACATCATGGTTTGCCTGCTCAGTAACCATTAGTATCTTTAATGTTAGAGACAGAGACAGATTTTATAAATGGTTAGTGTCTTTAGAAAGTGTGGAATTCCAAGGTACCTCTTCTGATATTAAAAATTATCTTTAAATGGTCACAGAATGACCAACACACTCAAAAGGAGGTCCCCTCAATCAGTACTTGAATTCCACTCTTTAAATTTTAAATGTCAAAATCTTCATTGAGCCTAATGAAACTCAATAACAGTTCTTCAAAAAATAAACACAAAGATTAGAGCAGAGTAATGAGTCAGCATTCTCCAGATGACCTGTTGTACCTGCAAAGGTGTTCAGTCTCGGCCTGTGGTCTCAGGGAATTAACTGAAGTGAACCTTTTTCTCAGTGTGAGATTCCATGATTGACATTTCACAGTGGATCATTATTTGGTATGGAACACTATATGATATCAACTTGTTTCTGGATCACAGAGTTTTATTGCTTTGGGTTTTTTTTTAAATATCTAGCATTAGGTTGAAGCAGTCATGTCAACATCATTTTGGGCTTTGTCCAGTGATAAGGAAGAGAAGACAAAGAGAGAGATTTCCTAATACAATTCTTTCAATTGGATAAAGATAAGAATGTGACTTAGTAAAGATAGTAACAGCCTTTTCTGTTAAATTCAAAGGCTCTAGTTTCACTTCTTGCACGTGATCCAGCTAGGATCAGTGTTGCATTCATAAAAGTACCTCAGAATTAGCATACTGCTCAATATTGAAAGCTTTTACAGCTAAAAAATGTTGGTAGATGACAACATAAAATATTTATAATCAGCTGTCATCTTGATTTCTGTGGGACAAATCACATCAAATAGATCTTGTAAGTGTTTAGGATCAGCCCCAGGCTCTGTCTCTAGACTTTTGTTAGGCATAATCAGTGTCTCACACACAGAAACATTAAGAGGTTTTTCAACTGCTGTAATGTGTGCAGTAGCATACATTATTTTTTAATCTTTTTTCTAAGAATTATATAAAAAATTAGGGTGAAGTTGAAAACCTGAAGTTTAAATAAACGTTGCACAGATTGCTCAAGGTGGTTATGGGATCGCCATAACCAAAGGTTATTAAGAGTAGAAAACACAAACAATTTTACTCTAGCACGAGAGGACAGACTACATAACTTCTTGAGGTCCTTTCAGAAGCTAATTATGATGATTCTGACATGCCTATGCAGAGAAACAAAGAAATATTGAGTACTTCTTGCTTCCTTGACAAGGCTGCAAACCTGCAGACTGCAGGTCATTAAGGAGAACGATGTCTCTGGGTCAGCAAGTTGTTGTGAAGAAGCAAACAACTATCAGCTGTAATTCATTTGCAGGCTGCTTCCTCCCTAGAGCAGGAAAGAAACAGAAAATTAATTGAAAATCTGAATTAAAATTAATTCTCTAGCCCAGTCCTGAGCTCTGGAGACACGCTCACTGTTAAAAGAAACTTTCATATTGCAACCTATCCCCTAGAAAGAGTGTAAGGGGATTGAGGATACACTATGTAATGGTTATATATGGCTTTATAAAGGATAAGAGTAGGTATTTGACTACATCTGAAATCATATTTATGGAGATGGATGATTAGGAATTAGGATATGGACAGAGTGTGTCAGTATGGTTATTATAAGGTGAAATGGCTTCTAAAATTTATTGGGCCATGACCAAACAGCATAGGTCCAAAAGGGTTAAGGAAATAAGAACAGAAATTGAAGATGCTTTGGCAGACATTTTTATGTACTTCTGCTCTTCAAAATAGATCAAGTGAAATCTTAGATGACTGGAGAGCAGCCAACATAATGCCATTATTTTAAAATGGCCTAAGGAGAGACAAGGGAGGTAAAGACTTACCTAACTCATTGGAATTCTCAGAGAATATGGCTGTCAACCCAGACAAAGGAGATATGCACATCACACAAACGTTCAGAAAACGTTCAGCTACTGTCTTGGTTGCAAAGTCAAGAAATGAATTAAAAGCAGGCATATTAAGCTGAATGGAGTAAATCAGCTATAATAAATGCATGCCGAAAATAGAAAAATAAAGTTAATGAGGATGTTTCTGACCAAGTCGGCTGCTTAAAAAAATGTATAATGAGAAGTGACACAACTAGACTGCTAACTGCACTCCTCCTTTCAGAAAGTCTTCCCAAAGGAGGTTACTTGCTTGAGATTGACTTGTTAATGTAGCTCCTTTCAAGTCTGACATGTTTGTAATGCTATTGTTCTACCCTCTGCTGTCAGAGCTCCCTCCAACATACTGCCCTTCTGCACTTTAAAACAGGTGAATTTTCACATTCTTGGAAACATTCTCCTGTCATTTGCAGAAAATAATTACACTCTATTTGCACCATGGGGAGCTGCAGCATAAGGTTCCCACACTGTCCTGTGAGACTGAGAGGAAAAAAAATCAGCTCTGTATCTATACCCTTTCAATCCACAACAACTTTATTGGTAGTACTAGTAATGGAACAATTTTATAGGTGAGGGTGTGCCATAGGCTGAGATCACAAATAAGTTAAACAAATAAGCATATTCAATCAAATTGTTATCTAGTAACAACCTAGTCAAGAAAGATTTGTATTAGTAGGAAAGCAAGAAAGGACTCTGACGCTGATTACTCATTCCCTAAGACAACCAATCCTATGACTGTTTTAAAGATAGAAGAGATGAGTAAAAAACTCCGGAGGGATATATCAAATGCTTTTATACCTTGAGTTGGTATCACCAGCCTTCCTTAGCAAATATACTAGCAACAAAGCAAGGAATTTGTTATTTATTTGACATCTTCCATAACAAAAATGAAGAATGGTATTAAATATTCTTAATCAGATTTGAAACTAACATGAGAATTAGTTTGGGATATTTTCTGAGGTTACTACAGTCAAAAAAATTAAATATTTTAAAATAATTAATAATAATTAAATTTTGTTTTATTCAGTAAGTGGAGGATATTTTAATCAGTGTCTTCTTTCCCACAGATACTTTATTTTTTTTTAAGTTATTTTAAATATTTTAGCTGACTTTGAGTTCTGAGATGTTTTTGCACTGGAAACATCCTTCTTGAGGATGTGCAGAAACTAGTTAGATAAACATGTTTTTGTGCAGGTCTTTAACAGGCAACAGGTTATACCATAATTTTGCATGTACTAGTCACCAACTGTGAATTTTAATATTCTGTTTATATCAGAAACTCTAAAGAGGTCAAACTACTATATAATATATATTAATTATATTTTTGACAATAATTTGTGTGTTTTTCCATTCCATTTGAAGAAACTGTATTAGTGGCACCAGCTTTGTTAATCTGTAGAGATCATAGAATCATGAAATCATAGAATGTTTTGAGTTGAAAGGGACCTTAAAGATCAGAGAAAATGTTCTCAAGTTGCTATAGGGGAGGTTTAGGTTAGCTATTATGAAAAAAAACGTTCCAAAGGTGTGTGGCTGTGGCAGTTGGGGATATGGTTTAGCAATGAACACAGTGGTGTTAGGTTAATGGTTAGACTTGATGATCTTAAAGGCCTGTTACAGCTTTATTGATTGTATGATATTATGACCTAGTTCTAACCTCCCTGCCATCAGCAGGGACACCTTTCATTAGACCCAATTGTTCAGAGCTCCATCCAACCTGGCCTTGATCACTTCTACAACTTCTCTGGGCAACCTGTTCGAGTGCCACATCACCCTCAAAGTAAAGAATTTCTTCCTAATATCTTTAACAATTCAGTTATTCATTTGACATCCAAATAAATCAAGTCTATATACTAAAATTTTGTCTAAGGTCTATGTTCTGAACCTTAGAAACTGAGTACTGAACTCCTGAAACTGACTGTTAAACCAATCCAAGGACAATTAATTTACGAAAAAATAATATTTAAATGAATAAATAATAATTTTTTAAACAGGAAATACACATCTAAACTGAATATGAACAATCAGCTACATGCAAAATAAATGTATTGGCCAAAACTTTTAAACTGGGTTGAATAAGAGTCTTGTGGGCCTGT